GAAGATAATTAAGAAAAAGATAGACATTCTTTTCCAATTCCTATGCTCAACCGTTTATTGATTTAATTAATCGAAGAAATTTTTTATCTCTATTTGTACATTTTAATCTTCGTATAGGGGAAATTTTTTGTTTCTCCTTTTAGATGCAGTTCAAACATCTCTAGTTCTGGGAGGTTTCCTCAATATTATTCTGCTTGTTGTGAATTGGTGATAAGAACGGAGCAAGCTATATATTAGTCACAAGCTTTTAAAAATTTAGAATCAAAGTCCATATTTAGCAAATGTTGTTTGAGCCATTCTCGTTCCACTCTCTTCTAGATATCGCTTGTCCATAAAATTGAATTCTATAAATCTTGCTTTTTTGGCAGCACTGAACATTTAGTTGGATGATTTATGGTGCTATTTATCGTTGAAATGATTAGGTCTTGAACATTCGGAACTGATGAATGTGCATTAACAATCTTTTCGTCAGTATAGAGTACTTTGGCTTGGCTGATGAAGGGCTATTGGCACTAAACTTATTCCTTATTTCTTGCTACATCAACTGATATAAGTGACAAAACATTATTCAAAGGAGTAAACTCTTCCTAGAAATGTGACCCATCATTTGAGGAATATCCTGTTATTGATGAAAAGGGAAACTGGGATTATACCGTTCTCTTCTGTATGATGGTTGAAATATTTTTGCATATATGTTTCATTTTGGGAAGAAGAAATCTATGCTTCAAAACTCTTACTAGGCCTTATTGCTTACTTGTAGTTGCTTATTCAAATAATTGTTACCACTGAATTCATTGAGAATGAGATTTAGATCGTGTTTGATTCTCATTATTTTTAAAATGTAGTTTTCTCTCTCTTTTTTTAACCACACATTCTTAAATAAAATAATATTTCACGTAAATCTAAAAAAATTTCTTACTTTTTAAGCACACATTCTCTATCAATCTACTATTCCAAAATTTATTTTTACAATAAAATGGGGCTCAAACATGTTCTTAGTTTGTTCTTGTTGATAATCTCATCTCAAGAACTGGGAGATTCCTTGATATGATGAATTTGTTAATTAATTTGTCATAAAAGGAAATGAGAAACTGGTTTTCTATTACATTATATACGCATTAAATTTCCATTAATTTTTTGTTCTATCTCCTTGGTGATTGAAATTAAGCAATACATTGATATGTCAATTATATATCTCAAGGCAATTTCCCACATCAAAGCCTTTATTGCTTGGTTGCAAAACTTGTTGATGAAGATATCTTTTTTCTTTATTTACTCAAATGAAGCATTCCTGTAGACAGCAGTGACCCCAAGATTCTTTCTGAATTCTCTCTATTGCTACTCCTCTATATAGTTGATTGACTCGTATAAATATGTTCATGTTGTTCTCATTTTTTAGTCTTAAACATATATTGTATATCTTTTTTGTACTGTTCCAAAGGATTGAATTGAGTTCATCTATTGATGTCTACGTGGTATCATGCCTCCAAATGTTAGTTCCTGACGTCTTTCGCATAAGTCATTAATTTAATTTATGTCATTTTATTTAAAAAAAATCTTTATTTATGCACTTTCTTAAATTTCCGACTTAATCCAGATTAATCTCATTTTATGTTGTTTTTTACTTTCAAGATATTAAAAAATTTAAATTGGGCAATCCAAAAATGTTCCATTATTTAAATCAATCAAATTGCTACGAGTTAGATTGACTTGATGAATCTTGAGAGTATTTAAAAATAAAGAAGGCAATGGATACTATGGGAATAAGTTCAGAGGAACAAGTATAAATGACAGTTGTTTTACATGAAAAAGTGTTTTCTTGCTAACTCTATTTCATTTGTTGCCTATCAAGATGTAATATTTAGAGTTATTGCTGCAATCCTCCATTTTGGAAACATGGAATTTACAAAGAGGAAAAAAATAAATAAACTCATCCATGCCTGAAGATGAAACATTTTGGTTTCATTTAAGAACTGCAATAGAACTATTCATGTAATAGTTAGATTTTGCAAAGCTATACTTTACCTGATAAGAGTAGTTGCTAAATTTTTATCTTACTACATTCTAAGATTAAGAAGATTCAGTTTTTAAAAGTTCTGCATTTTGTAGGTGATATGTGAAGGCTTTAGTTAGAGGACACCCTCTGCAAACGTGTAATTGTCACTCGTGATGAAATCATCACTAAATGTTTAGACCCAGAAACTGAGGCCAAATGTTTAGACCCAGAAACTGAGGCTGTTAGCAGATGCTTTTGCCATAATTTTCTACTCAAGGTCGTTTGACAGGTAGGCTTCATTTTTATGCTTGAAGGAGATGTTCATTAGTTGACGTACATTCGTGACCCAACATACGGTGGCTTCTTAATCTATCTGTTTTTGAGTTTGTTACATCCATTAGTTTTTTTTGTTGCTTATGTTGAGCAAGAAGATTTTACTGTTACTCATCATTTCATGGAATGTGGGTGTTTCTTTTGGTGCATGTTGAAGTTGGTTCCAACTATTGCATCCTTTAAAAAAAAAAAAAAAATTATAATTTCAGATCTTGATGACCTACCAGGAAAATTTTCTCATCCTATTTATCTATAAATAGACCATCATATTTGATTGGTCAGTTTGGATATATTTTACTGTTCCAGTTGTCTCAACATTACATACGTTTGTTGAGCATTTTCAAACCATTAGATATTGAAAATGACTTTTTTGTGCACAAAATTTTATTGCCTCTTTTAAATCACATGATATGTTATAGACATCAGCTTGGGAATATGGTTCGTGTAATTGACTATCGTGATATTGAATATGATTCATGTAATTGACTGTCACGATATTATTTAAGAGTTTTAACTGGCAAAGATGAACAATAGCTTGTACTTCTTTGCACGATGTGAACATTTTCTGACCATCACAATTCTTGACAAACCTTTGATGCATTGCATGATTTCGCTACTATCTACGACTCCTTATGAAGAGGTATTCCTCTTATTGTTCCTTTGTTTAGCTTTCACATTGACAATATCATGTCGATTCTATTTTATTCTAATTGTCTCAATCATGAACACGAAAAAAAGAGTTCCGTTTCTTATGGTAGCTATACTCTTTCAAATGGCATCCATCGATCCTCTAATCAAGTTGGCCGTTGACTTCGACCATATGTATGTCCTCAATTAGCCTGCCTAGTTTTTAGTTCCTTTTTGAATCTATTGCTATCAAAAGCATAGAGTATGTTTCTTTAATTTCTTGTTGGTTGTTTTACAATTACATTGTGATTTTAGTGTATACATTTGGGTTGCATTTGGCGCACTATATAATTTTTCGTTTCTAGGACTTTTTAATTCTTCTTTTTCGTGTCACTTATGTTGGGGAGTTGGATTTTTGAATGAGATCACTATTTCTCTTTGGTTTCAATGTCGTTTGGTTTTTGAACAGATCCAGGTATTGTTGAATGACATGTGCACTAAATTCTTTAAGCACTCTCGTCATCTCACATGTAACTATTCTTTTTCATCATTATTTTTGGGTATAATTATTTTTTCCGATAATACGAGAAGTGTACATTTAAGTTTTTTTAATTTTTTCCTTCATGAATTGTTAAGCTACTTCACAATTATCGTTATATGCTCGTCTTTTATGAATTACTCGTGAATCATTCCACACACACACACACGTGCACGCACACACACACACACATGTGTGTGTGTAATTTGGTTATTACCGTTGACAATGGAAAAACATAAATAAGCTAATATCTATAGGTCAACCATCTCATATTCTATGAAGGGAGATCAACAAGGTGTCATCTCTAGTCGGGGTTCTGGCATGTCGTTTAGGTCCCTTTGTAACACCCCAAATTTTGGAAAAATTTGAATCGCTACCAACACTGTG